AATTGCTTGAATTATTATGTCACTGGATTTTGTTTTTTTTTAATACAAAGTATGACTATAAACTAGTAAGTATGATTCCCTAAGTTACACAAGAAAATCAATCTCAATATTTTATGATTACATATATAGTTCTGTCTTGCTTTTTTAACTGCTATATAAATTTCTCAAGGACAAGGACCGTGCCTTCTATTTTTTTATTCATCAGTGTGCCTAGAATGGTGCTGGATATTTGTGGTACTTAATAAATGCTTTAAAAGTATGTAACATTCCTTCTGGGCTATTCCCTCCAACTCACACTCACTGATTCAGTTAGGGAGGGTGACTACCCCAAGTTCAAGGTACTCCGTGCATTTAGATCCTAAAACTATAGATCACAGGCCTCTGGTATTATGTTTACCTTTAAAAAGTTAACTGGGGGACTCAATTAGATTAAAACAAAGCCATTTCCTGAGATGGCATTGTAAGAACAGTAGCTGTGAAACATTGCCCTCACAAATCAGGAACATACCAAAGGGGTGTAAAAATGCACAGACTCTTTGGCCCAGTAATACCAATACTAGCCCTGTATCCCAAAGAGATGATAAAAAAGGGGAAAGGACCCATATGTACAAAAAATATTTATAGCAGCTCTTTTTGTGGTGACAAAGAATTGGAAACTGAGGAGATACCCATCAATAGGGGAATGGCTGAACAAGTTGTAGTATATGAATGTGATGGAATACTATTGTGCTATAGGAAATGATGAGCAGGTAGATTTCAGAAAACCTGGAAAGAGTTACATGAACTGATGCTGAGTGAAGTGAGAGACACTGTACATAGCAACAGCAACATTGTGCGATGATTAACTATGATAGACTTAGTTCTTCTCAGCAATACAATGATCCAAGACAATTCCAAAAGACTCATGATAGAAAATGCTAAACACATCCAGACAAAGAACTATGGAGTCTGAATCCAAGCATACTATCTTCACTTGGGGAGGGTTGTTTTTTATTTCTCATGGTTTTTTTTTCTTTTTGTCCTGATTCTTCCTTCACAACATGACTACTGTGGAAATATGTTTAATGTGATTGTACATGTATAATATATATCAGATTCTTACTATCTTGGGGAGGGGGAAGGGAAGGGAGGGAGGGAGGGAGAAAAATTTGGAATTCAAAATTTTATAAAAATGAAGGTTGAAAACTATCTGTACATGTAATTGAAAAAAGTACCATTAAGGAGAAAAAAACCAAATCAGGGGCATATTGTGAGCACACACAAAGAGTTCCTTAACAGAAAGGCACACAGGGAATACATGTGACCAACACAACTCATACTTCTAATACTGCAGGACAGTAATATCATTCCTTTTCTCACGGTAGCCTTACATTGTTCCACCCTGGGTACTAGTGTCTCTGCAGGGCATGTTGCTTCACTTGGCTGTGTGTAGTATATCCTACTAAGCAAATAACTCTGCTGCAAGAGACTTTCGTCAATGGGAGTGGAGAGAGAGACATGTCCTCCTTCCTACCAAGGGGTGGGTCCTTCTTCCATGGTTGCTTCTTTCTCAAATGCTAGAGCTTACACTCATCAGATTTTGACACCTACCTTGACTCACTTCTTAGTGTATCTTGACTTTTAAAAGATGGGGAAGGAGCACGGCTTTTCATTCTGCCAGACAAAAGCTAGCTCCACTCTAATTTCATTGAGCTTGAACGAAAGAAACAAGCATTTATTAATCACCTACTACTATGTGCCAAACTCCTACATGTAGAATACTCCCAGCAAGGCTGAGGGCTTCTTCCTGAGGAATGAGGGCAGTGAACTGTGTGTTGCATGTGGGTTGCTGAGGGATAGAGTAATGAGTGAAAGTTTTCAAGTTGTATCCTACCAGAACCACCAAGTTATGTTTCAAGAATATGGCAATGCAAAAAAAATAAAAAATGGTTGAATCAAGTATTTATTGAGCACTACTTATGCCCAGCACTATGCCTAATGTTTTATAGACACCTATGCTCAGGGAAGGACCAGAGGACCAATTACTAGTGTAATTTCAGATACTCAGGATAATCCAAATGATTTGGAGGTCTTGTGAATACTAGAAGGGAGAAATTAGTTATGAGCATGTTTCTTTCTATGCCCCAACTGATGAAGGAGTCTTTTTGACCTTGGTAGCCACATGTCATATGTAACAATCCTTTTGGGCTACTCCCTCCAACTCATACTCACTGTCTGGGTTGGGGGAGGAGTGACTACCCCAACTTCAAGGTAGTCTGTGCATCCACAGTTCTAAAACTACAGATCATAGGCCTATATCACAGATCCAGGTTACAAAATGAAGATATTTCTTTGAATGTCATTTAAGACCTTAATACCTTATTGTCTCCCTGTCCATTATACTCTGTAACTTCATCAGCTGGGTTAGGGGGAAGTCAGGGGTCTCATGATCAACTCTCCTCCTCTCACTATAATATAATAGTAAAAATATTTCAATCATTAATAATGTTACGTTATAAAAATCAAATGAAAACCCACAGAGAGCGGTTTCCTCTTGCTTCACATGTTCTACTTACAAGCATGAACCACAGAATTTAGGCAAAAGGAACCTTACAGACAATGCAGTTCAACTTGCAGACAAAGACATTGAATTACTTGCCCAAGATTTTACAGGTGGTGGTAGACACTGCCTTTCCAAAGCAAAAAAGGAAAAAAAAATCTATTAGTGCAAGGTGGAAACTGGCACTAAAAACTACGTGATTTTGCATAAATATTTTATTTTATTTTGCCACAATCTACACATTGAATAAGTGTGATAATGAGGAACAAACAGAATAGATTAGATAGTTCCCTGCTCCACCATTTAAATATTTAATAGCCACCAAGCCTCAAATGAAGTCTTCTTGACCTAGATCTTACTGTTACTAATACAGAGCAAAAAGTTCATCTACATAAAGCATATAATGGTTCTGAGATAAATTTACAAAGAGTTAAATTCTAAAAATTCTCCATCCTTCTTATTTAGTCCCCTGTAAACTGTACAAAGAACTGGGGAGATGGTGTGGATTTTTCATTAATCTTTTGTATCACAAAACTAAATCAATTCAGGGCGGTGCCCCTTTATCCAGACAGGGGACTAGAATTGTGCGCAGTGCAGTAGTTCAATAGTGTTGGAATTTATGTCACTCTCAGAATTATTCAAAGAAACACCTGGGTCAAAAATTCAGCTAATATGTGTCCTTGAATTTTTATTCTAATTTTCACTTGTATTTCTGGGATGGGGGGGATGTATTTAGGGTATTCTATAGCTTTCCCTTGGTCTTGCCTTTTTACTAAAATCTGCTAAAGACAAAGAAATGAAACCAAAATGAGATGCTGGAGCTGTGCTTATAGAATCTCAAAGAAACAGATAAAATAAACTTGTAATGTTTTCCTACATGTAGAAAGTTTGGCCTGATGAAGAAAATCTGTGAACTACAAACTAGAAAAATAGTTCGTTGCCTTTCTTAGAATACAACCTGCACCAGCTGTCTCTTTGGCCCTTCTTTCTTCCCTCTCTGCCACACCCTGCTTGCTAGTCCTAGGGGAATGAATGGGGTCTGTAGAACACTGTAAATAATGCCCGGAGATCCAATATGTCTCTGACAGAATGAAAAAAAGTATCTACTCAAGAAGAAAGCATGGCCAGATGAAGTGAATAAAACAACTAACCTCTTTCCTTTTTTATTTTTCATCTGCATTATCAAAGTAGTACCCTAGTTTCAACACTAATTCTGCATTAACAATCAATATTGACAATACATCTTTTTACATAGCAAAAAAAAAAAACCCACAGCAATCTGATTTCTGAGAAGAAGCAGAGACTGTCTGGGTTATTTATGGGGCTCTTGAGCAATTCGGAGCCTATTGTTCAATAGCAATATGTCCCTATAATACCAATAGCCAACACACAAATCCACAGCACAAAAAAACTCCTGATATTTAGCAAATTTATGGAAGCTACAAATTTCAGTGTATGCAGGAAACTGATTACTTAAATGCCAAGTTGTTCATTCCTGCCTGGTAAAGTATTCTTTTTGCATCCCACCTCTTGTCTTATCTGGCGGTCTCAGTTCTCCAGTACCTATTATTTTCCCAGCAAATAGAAAGATGGACATTAACTGTCCACACAGGACAGTTGTCATACCCAATCATTTTCTTATTTTCTTCAGTACTGAACCAGAAAAAGGTTGCTTTCTTTTAAGACACAATAAAACATACAATATATTCAAACAGAGTGCTATTAAAGGAACATTTTCTACTTAGTAGAAACTACTCCCTTTTCTTCCCATTTCAAAATATGTTCAGTAAACCTAGATTATTCTCTTATTGGATGTGTTTTGTTTTGTTTGGTGCAGGTTTCTGTGGAGGCTTCTTATTTGGTAGTCTTAGATTAAATTCTTTTCCCACTTATACTTGTCTATTATTTTACCTGGTTATAAAATAAGGCTCAGAAATACCTTGAAAGGTTTGGAAATAATTCTGCAATAAAGTTAGAGCTGCAACTTAAAAACAAATAATCTTCTTTCCCCAGGTCCTCCCAAGCATCATTTCACTTCCCCTCACACTTCTTTTTTAAATCTTACAAAAAGGTTTCAACTGTCATCCTCACCTAATGGCTACTGCAATTTACTTCCTAAAAGAGGGAGAGAGGCCTGAGGTCATTTTTTTGTTCATTATTTTACTTCAATACAAACATTCTGCTTTTCAAGTAAAGAACTAATCCTCCTACAAAGGTGGCTTCAACTGTAGTTTTGTGGTTTAATCAGTATAAACTCATCCAACCACAGTCTTCTTTCCCTTCTTCCTCCCCACCGCCCCACTCCTGCCACTCCCTATGATGGATGCTTGCTTGGCTAACTGCTTTGCTTGGTCTCTTTGTCTGAAGGATGCAAACAGTCTATGGATGCTGGAGAAAAAGGGGTGGGTAAGAGATTACCTCATCCCATGTCGTGTGCACCAATCACAATTCTCTGGTCTTGACTTCTCCGGGCAGATTGAGGGGTCTGGACCAACTGGAAAAAGCCCTAGCCCATCCCCATGGTGACAGAATTGTATATAGGGAGCTGTATTGGACCATGTGCAGTAGGTTCTCTTACATCGACCGCCTAAGAGTCGCGCTGTAAGAAGCATCAACCTCTCTTCTTCTTCTCACTCATCGACTTAGCAGCCGCAAAGCAGCAATCATGGTAAGGTGTTCTCTCTCCTTTCTTGTGTCCTGCCTAGGGGTATTAGCTCAGTGAAGGTGGCTGATCGTGCTACTTGCGAACCTCAAGTCCATTTTCTTTGCAGCTTCTTAAGACAGATGCTTTGTTTGTGCCTGTATCGGACTTCTTGCCCTTAAGCCTTAGTACGCAGACATGGCGGTGCGGACCAAGATTGGGGACAGAGGGCCGGAAAACCAGGAGGAAGAACAAAGGAGAAGGGAGGGGTTTGGGGATAGTGGTTAGAGACATTTCAGAGCCGCATAGGGCTGGTCACTGCAGGCCATCTGCCTGGGATGATGCAATGTCCTGAGGCTGGGAACCAGCGATAGTTCCACAGCCTCATGTATATTTATGTGTTCGTGTTACTTTCAGGCTGGCTGCTCCCATCCCCCTCCCCTTTGACTGCAGTCTTGGGTGGGGCGGGAGTGGGGCGGGGTGCGGGGGGTGGGGTGGGGACAGGGGCATTGGACAGACTAAGCAAAGAATAGGGTTCATAAAAACCAAACCAACAAAAATGAGAATATATCATGTAAAAAAAAATACACATTTCCCCTGTAAAGTGCTGGTTTCTGTTAGCGCTTTTGGTAAAGAGTAAGGGTGGAGCAAGGGGGCGGAGTTTTGTCGGGTTTTGTGTGTGTCTATCTCCTTGGAATTGCTATGCTCTTGAGCAGGAAATTTTTATTATTATTATTATTGTTGTTATTTGTAAAAAAAAAAGTATTTTAATAAATTTGATTAACGACCACCTTAAAGTAGCCTTTTGCCGCCCCCCCCCCCCAAAAAAAACACGTTGTGAAACGTCTGGGAAGCTAATCTCAGTTCAATCTGGCAAACCCAAAGAAAGGGTTTTCTGCCTTGACAACTCACCCAGAGCGAAAAAGATGCTCATTTTTCAAACCAGGGTAAAGTGCGGTCCTTTCAGGACCCTGGGGAGCTGTCCTGTCTCCTCTTCACCCGTGCAAGAAATCATGTCAGTGAATAGACAGTAGAAATGGGTGCCCTAAAGAAGATGGAGACAAAGAGAACTCTCTAGTGGATGTGATCAGAATATTCCACAGAAGGCAGGATATACTGAAATGCACCACAAATTTAAAACAAAATAAACCTCATGATGGGTTCTTGGTTTTGGTTTTTGGTTTTTTTTTTTAGTTTGGGAAGAATACAGGAATTTTGACTTTAAAAGATCTTTTTCTAAGCACTTGCAGAGAAATGTTTAGAAAATATTACACGGGAAAAATTAAAGACATAAAAACTGAGGTCGACAAAGAAGAATTACATTTTTCTTTCCAGTTTCCTCTTTTCTGGCATATAATATGGAGGCTGTCTTTTGTTCTGGTGCCACTTCATTGATTCATTTCAATTATTCACACACAAGGTCCCAGAAGGGGTCAGAAGAGAAGGACTGGCATAATAATATAATGAGATCATGCAGCCAGTTGCTGGAATTAGAGATGGCTGTGTTAAATAATACAGTAGGTGCAAAGCAGACACCAGGAGAGAAAATGCAGCAATGCAGCAAAGAGACAGTTAGCTTTTATTGATTTTAGCTCTGATTGAGTCTGGTGTTCCCAGGTTGGGTGTGGCCTCCTCCTTTTCAGTAATAAAACAGATGGCTATACTGAAATATCAAAACCCTGCTTAAATGGGGGTCCCACTCTTAAGGAGAAAGGGATAGGGTAGAAACCAAGCTTTCTTAGATCCTGGGAAAATATTCCACATAAGAAAAATAAGGTTCATAAACCCTTGATCTGTGCTTATTCTCCAACAAAACATTTCCAAAATTTCCACAAATTATTATTTTTATATGATTTATCCACAGTAAGAACAATGGATTTGGACAATGCTGCTGCAGCCAATATAAAGCATTGTTCAGGCCACACCCAGCTACATTTAGGATTGCTTTCTGATACTTATATGATAAATGTCAATTTCACAGGTGAACTTGAAGAATAGCAATATATTTTTAAAAATAATAATAGAAAAGTTACATATCTTAAATAAGTCTAATTTTTCAATTTCTTTGAATTTTTTTGTTTTTCTGCAGCGTGAGTGCATCTCTATCCATGTTGGCCAAGCTGGTGTCCAGATTGGCAATGCCTGCTGGGAGCTATACTGCCTGGAGCATGGTATCCAGCCTGATGGGCAGATGCCAAGTGACAAGACCATTGGGGGAGGAGATGACTCTTTCAACACCTTCTTCAGTGAAACAGGCGCTGGCAAGCACGTCCCCAGAGCAGTATTTGTAGATCTGGAACCAACTGTCATTGGTATGTTTAATTACAATTCCCTAAATCCTCTTGAAATTTGAATCTGCCAGTGTCAATTTATAATGAACCAATCCGAAAATAAACTTTCTTTTACATAATTGCATTTGTCTGAAATGAGACTATTTGTAGGCTTGCTTCCAGCTTTGACCATGTAAAATCTTGAGGAAACCTTTTTAAACAAAACAAATATCTCCTTTCAATTGTTGACCATTTGTCTTTATCGAGGCAGTTAATAAGACAGAATGACTCTTATGTTAGTGGTTTTATACCTTCTTAATTTTCTTTCTTTCTATCTTCCAGATGAAGTTCGCACTGGAACCTACCGCCAACTCTTCCACCCTGAACAACTGATCACTGGGAAGGAAGATGCTGCCAATAATTATGCCCGTGGGCACTACACTATTGGAAAGGAAATCATCGACCTGGTTCTAGACAGGATTCGGAAGCTGGTATATTTCATCTCAAAATAGTTTGGTGGGGCAGGGGATGGAAAGAAGAGAGGTGGCTTCACAACATTAAAAAAAATTAACATAAAATAGAATGAGATGATTGACCCTCCAGGTTTTGTTTTTATTAGTATCATAGACACAAGGTGGAGGAATAGATTGAATTGCCATTATCATTTTAACAAAAAATTAAAAGTTTTTCAATTAAGAAAAATGCTAAGTAAATATAACCAAGGAGAGGTAGTAGGGGGAAATTAAGACTATTCTCCACATCAAAGAAATCACATATCTAAGCACCCTTACTCCCAAATAGAGATAAATAATAGAAAAATAAACATTTTTAGAATAAGGTCTGTGCCTCCAAAGGAGTAGGCATACTCCATAAAAATGCCTTCTTGTATTTGCAACATAACAAGCATCAATTATCTGTTTCTTTGTTTACTTTCTAACAGGCCGATCAGTGCACAGGTCTTCAAGGCTTCTTGGTTTTCCACAGCTTTGGTGGTGGGACTGGCT